AGCTTAAGCTTCACCCTCGCATTGCACATTTCGTGGCATAGAACCAAAAAATGCCAAAGAACTTTTCAATATTTGAGAACATCGAGGCTGGCTCAGCACCAAAATGTGCTAAAAGAGGGCTGCGGCTCAAAATGGAGCTAATGGAAAGAAATAGATGATGGTGGATGGTTGTCATCAGGAGGACTAGGTAAACTTGAATATGATTGAATTTCTTAGCACAGCACTGGCATCTGAAAGTTGACATCAGTTTGGTAAAATTTGGGGTCTGTAATGAAAAGGCCGTGCAAAACTAATAGCATATTTGAAAAGAGCGCTTCAGAAAACTTTTTATTTTCATTGGGGTCAAGCACATGTCGCCGAACACATTAGTTTTATGATTTTACCAAAATCCCGGTTTCATGGTTGATGGATGCATCGTGAAAGCGTCGATGGCTGGGGCTGGGCTTAAAATACACACAGACTAAGCTTTATGAAAATTGTCGTTATAGACAATCTATGCCTACTCCACGTTGCGGAAAGTCCTTCGGTAGGTAAGTTTGCTCACCCCTCTTGAGCAACTGTAGCCAACGCCAGTCGCAGATCAGATTGCAAGAGGATTTTAGGGAGATAGGCAGCCCAAAACGCTAAAAGCAGCCGAAGAAAAACGCACAAAAAGCTTAAGTAGTGAAGAAACCATTCGAATATCACGTGCCGCTATCTGCGCTATCAGGCGAAAAAAAGACCCCGACTTCTTTCCGATGTAAGATGGAATCTATTTCTAGAAACTTCTAATCAAGTCCTTCCGCCCATCACCACCGTGCCGACGCCCATCCTTCCCACTGGAGAATACCACCACGGATCCTACCTGCTAAAGTGCGCACCGCGAATTTGGATAGTGGAGACGTCGGAACTGATTCAACTTGCAAACTGTTCACTTTTAGAAGTCTTTTTTCTGATGTGTTAGGTTTTGATTCAGCAGCAAATTTTTGGTGAAGCGATTAATTTACGGCAAACTACCTGTACTATTCAAAAGAGCCATTCTTGCTCTACAAGAACTGTTGATCGTCATCGGAGCATATCTAAATTTCCTTGTTTGATCTTCGCAAAGCAAAATTTTTGAGAGGCAAAAATAGCAATTTTAACAGCAACTTTCAATGCATATTCAATGATTATAAGTGGGGTTTTGCATTCGAAGTCGCTTAAAATTATGAAAAACAACTGTTAGCGGGACTGTGGTGCATATAGAAGTAGTCTTTTCATCTAAAAAGACACTGTGGAGAAGGATAAAGCGCACTTCTGTCATGTGTGTAAATGTTTCGCGTTTGGTGCAATCTAAAGAATTTCCTAATTCAAAAATTGGGAAAGTGTGGAATGTTAGCCAGAGCTTGTACACACACTATACAGGGTGTCCCAAAAGTAAGTACACACTTTTCAATCGTCAATATCTCTCTTCCCATTGTGTCTTTTTTCGCCATTTAAGTACCATTCTGTGGAGGAGGCTTTAACTTAGATTTACGATATTAAGCGAATCACCGATCGATCTTCATTACTGTGGGATAACTGTAGAAACTTCGACAAGGATTTCAGGTCACTGGAAGCCATATTCTGCCTCGGAACAAAACCAAACAAGCTAAAAACTCTTATACTAAGGTGATGGAAGTTGCTGGTTTCAAATATGAAATTTCCACTACATTATGATGCTTCTTTCTGAAGTTATCTCAGGTAAAACGTAATATCCAAATTCTCAATATTTGTCAGAAATGTAAATACACCGTCAAAAAAAGCTGAAAACACTCATAAAAAGTTGTGTAGTGGAATCAGCGTACGCGAAAACCATAGTACACTATTTTTCAGATTTTTTGAAAAAAATTTTGTAAGATGGCATATTCCACAATAGTCCTACTTGCTGGAAATTCTTACCGTAATCCTACAGTGATGAAGAGTGGTCGGTGATTCGCCCAATACTGTGAATCTAAGTTGAAGCCTCCGCTACATAATGGTACTTTAATGGAGAAAAAAGACCCATGGGAAGAGAGATTTTGACGATTGAAAAGTGTGTACTTACTTTTGGGACACCCTGTACCTTGAAAAATTCAAATTTTCTTCGAATATTCGACAACCAACAATCGAATAATATTCGAATACCAAATACCATTTGACTTTCAAATGTTGTTCGTTTTCGAATACCATTTGAGTTATTTAAATGTGCAATTTAAGGTAAAAAACGGTTTATGGGTGACACCATAAAATCCTACTTCTACAGCGGTGTTATTGAAAATAAAAATTTGAAGGAGATCATTTCAATCGTTTTAAATCGAGCAATGAGCAATGAATCCAAGCAATTACTGCGGCACAGTAAGGCGCCTGTTTTGAATACTATTTGACTTAGCGCAAGGGCCATCCAACATACACACTCCTATTGAGTGTTGTGAGACGAATGCAAGAGGTCCCAGAAAATCTTTTGACAAATTTTGAGTACGTTCTTTAATGCTGGCTTCCTTACATTTACCATAGTGCGATCTGTCGATCGCTTTTCAGTGCTATAGGTTTGCCATGGTACTAATTGAAGGAGCTTTGAGACAATGAGGTCCATGTTTTGCCTATGAAGAAGGCAAAGATCCGAAAACTCTTTCATTGGCTTTCTGAAGTCATTGGCTTCAAATACAGACTTAGTATTCAACTAAGCCTTTTACGTAAGTCGTACCAATAAGCCTTGATAAATTCTAATGTTTGTCAAAAACGTGTAAATGTCATTGGAAAAAATCTTTCAAACGACATATATGGCTATGGCAGTGGCTTTGTATGCTAAAAATTCCTACCGTAATCCCACAAAAATAAGACGTTGTTTCTTGCTGTACATGTATATAAGCTGAAGTAACCCCGCAGAACAAAGGAGTTGGCAAAAGCTATTCTAAATGAGATACTAGGGATCAAACAGTGTGCAGATACTTTTGGGACCCTGTGTACGCCACGAATATCGAATTCCATGATTCGATAATGATAGCATTTTCGAATAGTCAATCTTATCGAATTTTCGAATATTCGGTCGAATCGAATAATATTTGAAAATTTAAGTTTTCGAATGTTCGACTTCCGATCCGAAAATGAAAAAAACTTGAATGTTTGACTATCGAATATTATTCGAAATCTCAAATTTTTGAATATTTTAGAGGACCCATCCACTTTACAATTCTCGATGAGAGAGAACCGGCACATTCTGTCGTTGGACAGCGCGCAAACTCAAGCAGTAGCAGTCAAAACGACTACTGAAATGCTGCTAACCTTCCGCCTACATATGAGGATAACATTTTGCTACGGACCAAACACAAATTGAAGTTGTTGTCGAAATCACCGATTTTTGCCTTTCAAAAAAGTTTGCTTCAAGAAATAATGAAACAAGGGGGTCGTGATTTGCTCGGGAAAGTTCTTGTAGAAAAAAGACCAGCTCTTTCGAAAAATTACAGGTATTTTGCCGTAAAACCGCTTCAAAAAAATTGGCTACTAAATTATACTCTACAAACCTATGAAACAACTCAATACTTAATACGAAGCGCTATCATGCGAAAGATGGCTGAGTGTGCTGACACAATGGCAGTGTTGATCGTGCGATTTCGAACATCCACATGTATAAAGCATGGCCTTTAAAGATTTGTTCTGTTTGCAAATGTATGATTTGAGCATTTCGGTCGCGTCAACCTGATGGATTCATTAAAAAAGATTTGATTCAAGAAAGGTTATTATTCAAAATCCTTTTCTGTTAAGTTATGTAAAAAGTTTTGTTGCATTCAATTTCTTCTCAAACTTTGCAAAATGTTTTGCAAAATGTTTAAATGTGTTTGTAAGCCATAGGCTTGCTCTACCAGAATTTCTGCTTCGGTATCCTTTATCTAAAAATTTGGAAAAATTTTCCAGCATCAAATTTGGAAAACCAAAGAGAAAAAAATCCGATTTGGACAATTAAATTAATCGACCTCCGGGGAATGCATAGTACTACGAAAGAGCTCGAAAAATCTGCTGCTCATGAGTAAAAAATGCTTCAGCTTCCGCAGCGGCTCAGGAATGCTAAGCGAAAATCTCTTCTGTATACCGTCTTCTTCCGAAGGTCTTTTAATGTTGATTTTGGGCATTTAAAGGCAGCGTCCAGGCAGATATGGACCTATGGGGATTTCACGTGGAAAGTACTCTTGATTCCCTAACCAAGGCACTGCCCAAGCGGCAGCGCAGGTAGTGCTCTAACGGCCGAGATATTCCCCTTGAAACTGGCCCCCGAGATCGTATTCGCGTGGATTCATGGCAGTTTCGCGCCAGGATCCACGCTTGTGCGAGAAAAGGGAAAGGTAGACAGATAATTCAGAAAAGCGGAAGTGGTCTATGACTACAAGATCACTGAATTTACAGGTTACTCAAAAATGGATTTTTCTTTTCAATCTCTTGCTAAGTTGGGGGACGACACATATAAACTTGCGAACAGGCTTAGAGCTTGCAAAGCCTATATCGTCGTCTCCCTGCGATAGATGGGGCGTGTGTCTGCAAAGTCCGTAGATGTGCGTGTTTCGTATGGTGCTAGCCGGCGTGGCTTTGCCAGCCTTGCCAACGTATGCGCGTGGCAGTTTTTGGCAGTTAGAGAGTACGAAAACTAATGTCATATGATGAAGATTTAACAAGTATTATATTTAGGCGTGGCATGTATATACATGCCACGCCATGGCTAATGCCGTACGAAATACGCACGTCTACGGACTTTGCAGACGACACTCCCCGTCTACCGCGGGGAGACGACGATACACTTTACTTTGTATATGGTAAGTATTGTCGCTGAGAACACCAAGGTCGAGTTATTGTGCTACTTACCTCTTAGGACCGCATGCATTAACAAACTTTTTGTTTTGTACCTACTTCCATATGTACAACACTGCTAGCCTTAGGAGTCCTCTTTCACTTCAACCGGCCGAACGGGCTTGATGGGTTCATACAATCGTAGAAACAAGAGTATTAGGAATTAACTGGAAAACGTTTTGTAGGCGAACCCACTCAAGTGACAAAGCCTAGGATTGGGAAGTCGGGTGGAGCAGAAAAGAGAAAAGCTAGTAATGCTGAAAGCAGAAAAGGTTCTTCTTTGAATAGGTGGGTTTCGATTGAGCGTGCACATCTGAACATTTTTGTCTCAAATCCTGGATATTACTATGACTAATACTGTTTATTTTTCTTATGAAATAATTGGGATTTTGTGAGAAGTATATTCTAGCTTTATCATGCTCATAATCATAATTGGAATGGTAATTATTGTGTTCCTCGTACTTCCAATAGCCATTGCTTTTGCAATCGCCAAAAAACGAAAAAGAATGAGAGAAACAACGAAGAAGGTTGCAAGAAAAATACATTGAGAGATTGAGTAAATGTTTGAATATACAGGCAAAACGTGGGCCCATAAAATCAAAAGAAACTATGAAACCGGAAGCGAAAACTGGACCAAGCAAGTCGAGGGAATCATTGGAGAAGATGAGAATAGTAAAAAAATCGAAAGAATCAGCGGAAAAATTAAGCATTCCGTACTGATACTACTCAGTTTTTGAGTTAGAAAACAAGTTTTAAACCATGTTTCGCATCAAATCAATAACGCGTCAACACGTTCCTTATATGCGATAAAGAGTTCTAATATGTTTTTGCATTTGAGAGCACATGTTCGATTTCGTACTTCACAGGTATTCAATTTACTATTTTTTCTGGAAAAAAACTGCTAATTGCTTTCTCCGCATTTGACCACAGCAAAAGCCGTACACTCATTTGATGTATATCAATGTATTCCTGCTAAAGAAAGGCTATTTCACGTCAAAAAGCATTCCGTAACAGATCTTGCACGCAGCGAAAAACTCGAAAAATAACTTTCTCCTTTGTCCCAAATGAAACGGAAGCATTGAAGTTTGCCTCTACTACTACAACCTTTCTGATGAGCCCGTTACACAGTTTCCATAGCCGTTTTTGTGCGTCTCAGTATATCTCAGTGTAGTTAATAAACAGAAGTGTCAGCCGTTGTGTAAAAAAATAATTAGTGTTATTTTTGAAAACCTCTGTCATCAGGAAACTTGTTTGAAGGCACCGTGTACCCAGAGTGAGGGTGAAGATATTTAGACGACCCGCTATATAATTGCGGGGCCTCTAACTAAACAATTTGCTCAAGTTTCGGTGCAGCGATCTAAATGTAAAAGCGGCCATGGTGGCTCTTTACAACTCGGGTATTCTCAGGTAGCAAGTCTAAAGTTGGGCTTCACTGAATGTCATGGATCCGCTATTCCTTATGATAATCGGATTTAGACTTTTCATCTACACGCCCATTTTGGAACATATCTTTGATCCACGTTAATAAAAAGAGCGAGAGTGGCCGGTTTTACCTTTTAAGTGGTTCTTGCCTTGAAATTCATCTTTAGCAGCTGGCTTAAGCAACTGCTTAACTAGGGACGCGCTATTACATAGCATTATAATTTCATCACGACTAAATTGGTGGACGTGCTTCAACACAAAATTGGAAAAATCGCTAATCTCTTTTTTAAAGCCCTAGTTGTTTACTTGCAATTCCGCTCATAATTCATTAAAAACTCCAGCGGAGTGCCCGAAGTGCGCTAGAGTGCGCTGTAGTTGCGTCGCATCGCCATATCTCGCTTCGGAGTAGACGTATTCTGAATCCAAGGCTTCAAGGACACTGCTCGATTCAGCTCGGCGAGACGCATCATACAGCATATGATTGCTGCTGCTCAGATAATCGCCGGGGGTAGGAGATAATCGCCGGGGGAAAAAGGTGCTGAGATATCGAAATAACAACAACCCAGTTATTTCTCACTAAAAAAAAGGATGCCTTGATACCAGTAAGTCGATGAGTATGCCAATTTCGCGCAGAAAAAAGTCCATAATTCTTCTTGGAATGGCGCTCGGCAGTTACGAATAGCATTTTGGAATCAGTGCTTGAAGCTGCTTCAAAAGTTATATGTCACTTACCAAAACGCCCAGTTGAGTTAGCTGCAGGACCCGGCACAAGTCGGTTTCTAGGATTTCTAAAAAGAAGACTTCCCTGACCTTCGGAAGTTTTACGAAGTCCCCTTTGACCTGCCTACTTAGGAGAAGATTTTTTAAATTGAGAGAAAAAACGTGAGATAAAAGTGAAAATCCAGATTGGAGCTGAATACTGCGCATGCACAAGATTTTGGCATTGGAGCGCGATATTTAACAATGCGATTTATGGAGAAATCAAGATCATTAGTACAGTGCTGGACATAATTATAGGGACACTCTAGAAATCGTCGTAATTTTCATTCTTGTCAGTGAATCTGTCTGAAACTTTGCTGTATGGTGCGCATGTAAGCCTACCATAACTTCTCAGAACGGCTTCCAATCCCGCTGATTTCGAACGGAGAAAAATGGAAAAATTCGAAAAAGCTTGTTTTGCAGGCTGGACATAATTATAAGGACTTGCCTTATAATTATGCCTGGCCTTTTTAAGCATTATCGCATTCCTTGACTCCCAAATTTTTTTGTAGAGTTACATCCCAGAATATGAAACTTTTGCAGCACCTAGGACCTGTCATGCTACTCAAGGAAAGATGATCCTTGCATTTTTCGTTTCCAAAGGCAACAGAAGTCAAACTGCTTCAGTAAACAACTGGTTTGAAGAGTTTTCAAGCCCTTGTTCATTTCAAATGATAATCATAGAGTCTACTGATCCTTCTGGATAGATGAGGTGAAGAGCGCTTTCGAGTACTCTGCGTTGATACCACTGCTT